GGAGGAAGTTGGGAGGAGGGACGCCGGTCAAGAAGGAGACAAGGGAAACACTACAACACAACGGCAAGGCCGTTCTCGCTGTACCGACCACCCCCGACGAAACTCGCATCCTCTCCCGGCCCAGTCGCCTCCAACCTCCCACGCGTCCAAGCTTTACCACCCCAAATTTAAAATTTCGGATCACACTTCTCTGCGTTTTCGGGTTTAACCCATCTCGTGATTTCGGGTTTGACGCCGCCGAGTTTTCGGGCTTTGCCTTTCCGCGGACTTCGGGTTTGCCCCCTTCGGTTTTCGGGTTTGGCGGCGATTTCCGGGTTCAACCTTAAACCGAGGATCGCCGGCCGGGGTCCTGGGGGAGGTCCCGCCTTCAGGGTCGGCGGCACTGGCCGTGAGGCCTTCGCAATCTCCAAGGGCCAGGTGCCTGGGCGGCCCTATCACGAACGGCGAACTGGGAAATCGCTCCAAATGCCCCCCGGAAGAAGGCAATGTGAGCCTCCAGGTTGGCTCGTCCCTCTACGAGACCCCGACCCATGGCTTGGGCAGAAAAGGCGTATGGGAAGGGCCCCTGGGACACACCAAAAAATAGACACTAATGCCAGGATGTCCTATATTTTCTCATATTTTCTGGATGTTCGTCTTCCCCCCCCACTTCAATTGTTTTCCTCATTTTTTTAATGGGGATCGACGACTAATTGCGTCTGCGTGTTACTTCCCCCTCTGAATCTGCCCCGATCGTGGGCCCAGGAGCGGCCTGGCCCAGATCGGCGCAGCAAACGCACAAGCGCAGGGCCACCAGCAGGTACCCACACCGCTGCTCCCCCAGCCTCTCCTGGGGTGCGTTCTGGCCAGGATTTCGAAGCGAATCCGGCGGTGGCGACGACGGAGGCCCAGGAGGCCCAGAAAGGGGAAAGGACTCTTTGACGTACCCAGCCCTCTCTATACATGTGGCGATTCTACTTAGGACCACTCAATGCTGACTGGCATTCTGAAGGCCCGGATTGCGCAGGAAAGAGCACCCAGCAGTGACTTCAGAAGAGCGGACCAAGAAGAGGAATGGCAAACATACAGAGCATGGAAACACCAGGGGCGCGGCACCCAGGAACCCACGAAAGTGGCGACTATTGCGCAGACCGCAAGCCCCCCAGGGGGCGGCGAGGTCCCGAGATGGTCCGCGTATGACGTACCTCGGCTGGGCCTCCCGGGAACCCGCGAAAGTGGCGACGGTTGTGCAGATCGCAAGGTCCCGAAGTGGTCCGCGTGGGACGTACCTCCGCTGGGCCTCCCAGGACCCCACGAAAGTGGCGACAATTGCGCATATCACAAGCCACTCAGGGGGCGGCGAGGTCCCGAGGTGGTCCGCGTATGACGTACCGCGGCTGGGCCTCCCGGGAGCCCACGAAAGTGGCGACAATTGCGCAGATCGCAGGCCCCCCAGGGGGCGGCCAGGTCCCGAGGTGATCCGCGTATGACGTACCTCCGCTGGGCATCCCAGGAGCCCGCATATATATATATATATATAATATATATATATATATATATATTATATATATATATATTAACTACGGTTGCGCAGATCGCAAGCCCCCCAGGGGGCGGCGAGGTCCCGAGGTGGTCTGCGTATGACGTACATCCGCTGGGCCCCCCAGCGGCCACGAACATGGCGAGAGTTGCGCAGCTCGAAAGCCCCGAGGGGGTGGCGAGGTCCCGATGTGGTCCGCGTATGACGTACCTTGGCTAGACCTCCCAGGAGCCAACGAAACTGGCGACAATTGCGCAGATCGCAAAACCCTCATGGGGCGGCGAAGTACCGAAGTGACCCGCGTGGGACGTACCTTGGCTGGGCGTCCCAGGAACCCACGAAAGTTGCGACAATTGCGCAAATCGCAAGCCCCCTCAAATGCGGCGACGTACCGAGGTGATCCGCGTGGGACGTTTCTCCGCTGGGCCTCCCAGCAGCCCACGAAAGTGTCACCTGAAAAACGGCCGCAGAAGCGGCGATCTGATTTTTGTCGACGCGATATTGCACTTTGTCATTCGCCACATTGCTGAAACTCAAACGCTGAATTGCGCGCGTGGGTCCGCTATTCACACCCTACCAGACCTCGACATGATGCACCGCGATACGCTGCCTCATCCGCCCAAAAATGGTCGACGCCATCACCGTCCGATGTTGCTCCCGATTTTGCGTCCGATTTTGCGTCCGATTTGCGTCAGATTTTGCGACCGATTTGCGTCCGATGTTTGCCCGATTTTGAATCCGATTTGCGCTTGGCTTATGTTTAATATTGAATCGACACAAGAAATCAGATGTGAAATCGGACGCGAAATCGGTCGCAAAATCGGTCGCTTCTGGGCGCATTTCCGGGCGTTCTTTCGGGCGCTTTTCCAGATTCGCGTCTGGGCCATATTCTGGGCACTCTTGATGGCGCTTTCCTGGGCGCTGTTCTCGGCGCTCTTCTAGGCTCGCCCGGGCGCTCGCCCCAGCGCGCTCCCAGGCGCTCTTCCGGGCGTTGTTCTGGTCGCCCCCGGCGCACCTTCTGGACACCAGGCGCGCGCCCAATTTGCAATGTGAAAACCGAAAAAAAATCAGAAGCAAATCTGCTCTGCCACCGCGGCGAAGTTAGAAGTGGCAACAATTGCGCAGATCGCAGGCCCCCCAGGGGGCGGCGATGTCCCGAGGTGGTCTGCGTGGGACATACGTCCGCTGGGCCTCCCATGAGCCCACGAAAGCGGCGACAATTGCACAGATCGCAAGCCCCCCAAGGGGCGGCGAGGTACCGAGGTGATCCGCGTCAGATTGCCTCCGCTGGGCCCCCCAGCAGCCCACGACAGCGGCAACCATTGCGCAGTTCGCAAGCCCCTCCGTGGGCGGCGAGGTACCGAAGTGATCCGTGTGAGAGTTACCTCCGCCGGGCCTCCCAGGAGCCCACGAAAGTGGCGACATTTGCATATATCGCAAACCCCCCAGGGTGCGGCGAGGTACCGGGGTGATCCGCGTCGGAGGTACCTCCGTCGGGCCTCCCAGGAGGCCACGAAAGTGGCGACAATTGCGCAGATCGCAAGCCCCCCAGGGGGCGGCCAGGTCCCGAGGTGGTCCGCGTATGACGTACCTCGGCTGGGCCTCCTGGCAGCCTACGAAAGTGGCGACAATTGCGCAGATCGCAAGCCCCCCAAGGGGCGGCGACGTACCGAAGTGATCCGCGTGGGACGTACCTCCGCTGGGCCTCCCAGCAGCCCACGAAAGTGGCGCCAGTTGCGCAGATCGCAAGCCCCCCAAAGGGCGGCGAGGTACCGAAAAGATCCGCGTGGGACGTACCTCGGCTGGGCCTCCCAGCAGCCCACGGAAAGTGGCGACAATTGCGCAGATCGCAAGCCCCCCGGGGGGCGGAGATGTCCCGAGGTGGTCCGCGTATGACGTACCTCCGCTGGGCTTCCCAGCAGCCCACGGAAAATGGCGACAGTTGCACAGATCGCAAGCCCCCCAGGGGGCGGCGAGGTACCGAGGTGGTCCGCGTACGACGTACCTCCGCTGGGCCTAGCAAAGGCCGCCGTGACCGTTTGCAGATAACAAGAGGTGTGTCCATTGCCTCTTCCCCCATACCATATCCTCCATCGCTCTCTCTCTCCCTCAAGTAATCGTTCGGCCCTCTTCCACCTCCACCTGATCCTCTTCCTCCTCCTCCTCCTCTTCCTCCTCCTCTCTCATCTCTCCTCCCCCTCCCCAGAATGTCAAGCCACACCAAGGGGGTCCGACCTGCCGCGGCGCGCAACTCCTCGACGGGGAGGAGGAGGAGGAGGTGGAGGAGGAGGAGGAGGAGGAGGAGGAGACAGCACGCGCGCAATCCCTTTCCATCCTGCACTTCTGAAGTCAATATGGCCGTCACTCGGCCACCCGACCTGGGCGCCCCCGGGGGCCCGGGGGGCGCATTAAGCATCATTGAGCTGATTGGTAAGCAGCTGGCAGTGCTGGTAGCTGTCCATTTCTCAGTCTCGCTCCCTCTCACCTCCCCCCCTCTCTCCCGCTTCCCACCCCCACCTCCTCGTCCCTCTACTTCCGTTCCCCTTCGTCCCCAGTGACATTCAGTCAACTCCTAACTGTGCCTTCCATACCGGCCCTATCCCCTACCTCCGCTGCTTACCACCAGCGAGCCTCTCAAGGCTTCGAGCGTCGAGCGCACTGAGCCTCGAGGCAAGCGAACCCAGGGGCTGAGCACGCACGCCTCCGACAGCGGGGCCCGCAAGACAGGGCGCCAGACGCTGATGCGAAAAAACTGGTCACTGGAGCAAGAGTCAATCGGATAACGTGGAGTGCACTACTCTATACATATATGTATATATACACACGACGTGCATGCATACACGGACAGACGCAATTATTTGAAGACTACGTGCTTACGTGGGTGTACATATATATATATATATATATATAAAGAAATCCATATATATATATATATATATGTGTATACATGCACAGGCATGAACATGTATGAACATTCACACGTACACATCAGATATGGGATATGCGATGCGGCGTCCGATACGGGTGGAGAACTCAACAATGACCAGGAAAAAAAAACGTCAAGGCGCCAGTCGCTAACTACAGTCAGCCGACGTCCTCAGCCTGACCCCTGAAGTTGCCGCGGGCCCCAGCTCACGCTCGGATCAGTATATCCCATCCTCCTATCCCGCATCTGATCCTCCATACTCCGTCTCCCTACTCTCTTGCAAACTCCGAGCTGTAAATAGCAAGGCAAAGGCAGTGAGCAACGATACAACACCTGTCTCACTCGCCCGCCTTGCTTGCTGAGGGGGCACCGCTAGCGTCGCTGCCGTCGTCATCGCATCCCATCTGGATGCTCAGCTCCTGCTGCCGCGGCGACTGCTGCCCCCGCTGCTGCCACCCGGTGCCGCGAGGCTCTTCGCCGCCGCCGCTGCCACCTTCGGTGCCGACAGTGCCGACGGCGCCGCCTTCCTGCGCTTGGGGGCGGAGCCGTCGTCGCCGACGCTGGCCGCCATCGCCCCGAACTCGAGCCGCCTTGTACCCACTGCT